TAATTTGATATAGGGGCTTAGGTATCTACAGCTTAAACCGGACGCGCTACATCGCTTGGACGCGAGACACCCCTGAAGGTATACGGTAACCTTAAAACTAAAATAGGCTTATAAAGCTTCATGTGGTACAGTTTCACTAAAGCTTGGACGTCTTTGACCATTGAGTTCAACTGTAGAACTCAAAGATACTTAGATACAAATCTGAGGATTTCTATACAGTATTTTCTTTTTGTGTTTAATATAATTTATTCACCCTGTTTTTTTCTTTAGATTGCAGGATTCCTGCAAACAGCTCCAGTTGCCAAAAGTGTTGTGAAAGGAAAAAGACAGAAAACAGTTGAAAAGCCAGGTACAAGAAGAACATCAAGGTCATCAAATTCAGCAAGTCAAGCAGAAGATAATACCCCAAGAACCATCATTCAGAATTTCTTACGGGAAGGTATTAAGCTACCTTAAAATAACCTTTATTACCCAGGCATACATGAAGTCAGTCAACAGCAGGCCATTTTATAGATGTGTGCTCAGTTACCTGATGTATGAATGCAAGTGAGGCTGGAGAAACCTGCTTTGATAGTTAGCATAAGAACAATTTGATTGACACAACAAAAGCAGTGAGGTCTATATCAAAACAAGGTCACCTCCAGGCTTGCTGCCATCCAAAGGCCAGGTCACTGAGGGGACAACAATTAACTAAAATTGTTTTCTCTTCTTGTCTAGAGTTGTCTCTCCAAGTTTTTTCCTGCTTTATTAAGAGTATTGTCTCGCAAGAGGCTGTCAGAAATAATCTATTTAAGAATGAAGGCTTATTTCATTATACAGATCTTTTTCCATTTTAAGCTTTAGCAGAATCCCCAGAAAAGCCAGTGATTTCAACTTCATCCGATGTAGAAGATGAACCTGTAACACAACAGTCAGATGAGGAAAACCACTTATCTCTTGTCACCAGCGTTGTTGCTGATGATGCAAGAACTGTAGTAGATGAGCAATCGGTTGCCATGACAACTTCACATGAAACAGGTCATGTCACCCTGATGGAAGCAGCTACTCCAGTGCTCCTAGACTCTTATGGACAAGATGAAGGTGTTGCACAAAAGTAAGAATTTTACACCAAATTCAAGCTTGCATGGAGAGTTAAGTTTAGGTGCAGGTCTGTGCAACTCAGACAAACATTGTAAAGGAGTGCAAGTGAGAATGATACATATAGTTGACAGAAAGTGATTGGAGCTCAACTCTTGCTCAGGTTTTGATGACATTCTTTTTTCATGTGCACTGGTCAACTCTCATATGTTCTGAATTTTTTAATTTACTTTGTAAAGTTCATGGCATTATTCATGCTTATTTAGCATGCAGATATCTTGAACTCTTGTGTATACTTATTTGACTGTGCGTATATGATAGCTGAATGGCTCCTCCTGGTTTTGAACCTCGTAAAACATTCCTCCGGTTTGCTTATAAACAAAACTCGGAATAAGATATCAGCAGAACAGCATATACAGGTGTAAGTAATGTCAAGGGGAAGGCCAATAAAAGAGTGCTTGAACAGAAGGTTGCATATATCTATGTAGTGGAGATCATAAAAATTATCTAACTGTTTTCTTCAATTCCAGTACAAGTGAGCAGGAAACGCAAGATGAAGTTGAACGTTTGCAATCCACAGCAACAGACCAAACTCTGGAAACAGACACACAGACATCTCGTCAGTGGAGAGACCTTGTTACTCCTCAGCTGCCCCTTGATATGTCTTCAGCAGGACAGATGTCCAGATCCACTGGAGAAAGGTCACTGACAACAAATAATAACAATAACAATGACAATGACAATGACAGTAGCAATAACAATAACAATAACAATAACAATAACAATAACAATAACAACAACAACAACAACAACAACGACTACAACAATAATAATACATGTAGTAAAATTTCTATAGCACCATTTCCCAATGGTGCAATCTTATGGTGCTTTACAGCAAAAAAAACAAAAAAATAATACCTACTAAAAAAATGATAATAAATTATCATGCTTTGGTGTCTGTAATTAGCATTATAGGAATCCAATGCACATAGCTTTGCATGTACTGTGAGCCTATACACTACGTACAATATAATAATTCTGTAGTCTGAGTCTTTTGAACCTGTGGGTTACATACATTTTCTGGAATTTTTGGTAGAACACAATACAGTTAACACCCGCGCATAAGAACAAGTGGATTAACAACATCAGGCTGAAAGTTGGTCAATAAAGCACCATAATAATTTAGCCGGATAAAATAATCTTTTTCCTATATAAAAAGAAAGAGGATGCCAGAATAAGAAAGCACTCATATTAAAATACTGTGTATCATACATGTAGTGCTACATGCAGACAGAAGTATTTGTTTATTTATTTATTTATTTATTTATTTTTTAGTGTAAGTAATACAACATTGTATGTTAATTGAACCTCTAGTAATGTATGTTTAGAAAACAGTCCTAAGAAAATACGCACGCTGATTGGTTAAAAATTGTGTTTCTAGAACTTGATAGAAACACAGAACTAGCATGAGCTGTTGATGTAATGATGGCGCAAGCAAAGAGAATTTACCCTTTGATAATCAAAGTTAACAAGTTGTTTTCCTTTTTTTGTTGCGGTGTTTTCTAAAAGAAATAGAAAACATGTTCTTCGTGTTTCTATTGAGTGTTAGTATAAATCTACTAGCGTTCTATCACGAATGCCATTCTCTGATTGGCTACGCTACTCGCTATCTATTCTGTGATAGATAGCGAGTAGCATAGCAGTGTGCCCTAGTCAACAAAATGACGGTTGCTTCTTTTCATTTTTGAAGTGTCTGTGAAGGGGATTTAGATAAAGTTTTGAATGACTAGTAGATTTATACTAAAACAATTAGATTATTTGCCCTCGATTTCTATCGCGTGATAGTTGACTCCGGCTGCGCCCTCGTCAACTATCAACTAGAAATCTCGAGCTCATAGTCTAATTGTTTAATAGAAACACTCGTGAAAAGTTTGGGAGACCTCGAAAAAGCTGCAGCTCATTTTCCCACAGCATTTCTCATTCTTCCAAACTTCAACTTGTGTTTCTATAACTCGATAGAAACACAGTACATGTTTTCTATTTCTTAAATAGTATTTCTGAAACAAATTTTAAGAACACTTTCAGGCTGATTTCTCACTAAGCACGCGGTAAATATGAACTACATGTAGATCAGCCTGAACCCCGAAATCATAGGTCCTTATATGTGGGTGTTTACAATATCGTCCTGAAATTTATTTGAGACCTGAACAATATTTTTGCATTTGTTGTTGGCGTGGGTGGCTTACATTTCCATCATAATTCAGATGATCACCAGAGAAAACAGCTGAAATCACGAAGTGATGTTGGTTTTCGTCATAAGCTGGCTACTTTTGACAATAGCACTAATAACATTTCAACTAAGAATGAAGTGTTTATAATTTTACTATGTAGATCTGTTGGTGAAAGACCATTCTTTGGAGGAAAGCCTCCTACAGGAAAGGCTGCAGCAAGGGGTTCAAAGTAAGTGTAACATGTTTTTTCATTATAGCCATTTATTTTAGCAGTGTAATTAATAATAGTTTTATTTGAGTAATAAATTTTGTGATTGTTGAATAAATTATCTACACTAACTGGTAACCATAATATGAAAGATATTATATATTTTTAGTAATTTGCACCATGATAATATATAGCTAAGCCAGGTTTGTGCAATACTATGTAATCACGAGTCACATTATCAGAAGTATATTCTTGCCTTAATTTTGTGAAAGAAAGAGAAAAGGCTACTTAAAGGGCCCTAGTTAGCCACACCTTTGTTTTTGTTTACATGCGAGTGTTTGGCTACTATATTTTATTCGGAGCTTGTTGACACAAAGGAAATCTCTGTGAAACTACTAAAAGATAATAATAGTATAAGTAAGGACACTTGAACCATGAATACTTGACAATTTTTTTACATTTTTCAATGACCATAGAATAAAGCCTCTTCATATAATGTATAATGTTAGCATTTTTAAAGTGTAAAAACACGAAATACTCTGGTTAGAAAGGAGTGCCCATATTCTATGGTCTCTAAAAAAATGTTCAAAAAAAAATATTACAGTAAGTGTTCATGGTTGGAGTATCGTCACAGTAAATATGCTGTCAGGAACACAACATACCGTAAAGCAATATTATAACATTTTGCTTCACCATGCAATATCAACAATTTTGATGGCATCGAAAATGGCAGAGGCTCACTAAGGTCCTTTAATGTTGTCACATTGTGAGGCTATTTAACATTTGAAGAAGTGGGTTTGATAATGCAGAAATAATATACCTAAAGTTCAGGTTCACACAATTCTTGCAAACTCATTCTTGTGCCAGAGTGGGAGATGGGAGAGGGAGTACTTCAACCATCTCATAAACCAGTCTTGTTTGAATTAGGGATTTTGCATTTTTTTAAGTGGATATTCTTTGTTATAATCCATCAAATATTGGTCTAAATACGTCACGTGACTGAATATTCCCCAGTTGAAACTGGGGAATATCTGAGAATATTCCCCAATTTTCAAAACTGTGCATCTTGCAATAAATATTTGTAGGATAATTAACACAATAGGCTCCATTTGACCTTGAAAATATGCTTGGATATTTGTCCTTGGACATTATCTGTTCCTCAAAGCTCACAGTTAACCTCGAGCTATTCTCTGAGAAAACTGTTCGCTTCTCAGAACAGATAATGTCTGTGGACAAATATCCAAGCATGTTTTCTTGCCAAATGGAGGCTATTGCTTATATAACCCTTGTAACCACTGGCAAT